CTTTCTAATAGGCAGATAACATTTTTTATTTCTAATGTCAATTGTTTTAAGCCATAGTAAATTAAGCTATATTTAATAAAACCAGTCTGCATTTTCCTGTTTTCAAAAAGATATCGTCTTACCAGGCATTCATGTTGACGGTGGTAGTTAATTCCACTTTTGGATCACAATTGCACTCAGAAAATAGAATCTTTTGATACTCTCATGCAGGTTCTGCTTTACAGTAGAATATTTATTGGAGAAGATCTCATAAGCTGTGTCAGTTCAGCCAGACAAAAACAATCGTATCAGCATTTTTCTAACTTCATATAACCTAAATAATTATGAAGAGTCGCAGCTTTATCCGTTAAAGCTTTTAATATATAATAAAGAAGCCAGCAGCAAAGGGCATGTTTTATGCTCAGCAAAATTATATATCGACTTTAAGGATTACGCCAAACTGAAATTTATTTTTGCAGAAGGCTTCTGCTAAATGAACATATTAAATTAGCTTTTTGTGTGGATGTGCAATGTTCTCATAAATGTTATACAGCTCAGACAAATATAAATATTTTATATTGCATTTAGGTTTTTTGCATGTGAATTTCCTAAACTATTTACTTTTATGGGATAGGCCAGCTGAAAAATATACTAAACAGCTTGAATTTTGTGTCTGTAGATATATATCTTCCTTTTAATCTCTTGTCAAGAGAATGTGTTACTGATCATACTTCCTTATTTATTTACATCCTTAATTACGATGAAGAGGCAGCATAATAAAGATGTTATTGTACACTTTAAATTGTTGTTTATACAGTATACTGGCATTAATGTGATATCATTAATTATTAGCTTCTAGAATAGCAATGGAGATAACAAAATCCTCTGTTGTTTTTCCAAGATTTTTATAACACCAGTGTGTTACACAGTAACACAGTTGAATGTATTCGGGAAATATGTGAATATGTTATATACTGCTAAATATATACAGCATACTGTATCATTAGCGTGGGTAAGAACATTATTTTTTATCAAACAAAAACAATTAAAAAGGAAAAAAGTTGGCAACATTTCTTTTGGAACTTGGAGCATTTTCCCAGTCAAATTGCAGACAACAATGCATTTATTGTATATTTTTAACAGAGTAGAAGATTTAGAACCTCTGTAAGCTTTTTAGATGTTTTTGAGTAATTACCCTTTTTTCCTTTTACTGGGGTCATGTAGGGCAAGACAGAAGAGTAAATTTCTTCTAAAGCAACAAAACCCAATATGTAAATTGTATTTTTCAATACCACTGCAATCCATGCTCTCTCTTCCTCAGTGGAGCCTTTAAGGGTTAATAATTTCAAATCTCAAATTTTACAATCCCTTTGTTTGCTTTGTTTCCTGGTCCAAACATCAAACAATTATTAACATCAACATGCATATATAATAAAAATACATAGTATAAAACATGTGTTATCCTTAATATCAATTATATAACACCACGCATTGGCAGATCTCTGAATAAGTTCAGAAATCCTAAAAGTTGTTAGGGTCAACCTTGTATTAAGTATCTTTATATGTCTGGAGGCTGGCTTTCCTATTGCAGTAGCCAGGAATAACTAATTTTTACACCATTATAGTGCTTCATTCTCCACCAACCCTAAGCATTTGAAAGGTAGAGGGGTTTTTCTTTTATCAGAGGGGGCATATTATAATTTGATGTTCATCCCATCTGGTGAGTGAGCCTTTCTTAAGGTGGTAATGGACAACAGGGTTGGAGCACATTTGATGTAAACTTTAGAACCCCTGCAATATAGTAGATAATTTACCTGGTTAAAGGTGAGGGATTCACTTCAAAAGACATTTTTTTTTTGTGTGGCGAATTAAGTTACACAGAAAGACTGGACCTTGCAACATTGTATATTATGTATAGCATATGTTTAAACTTTAGTGCTAGTTGAGTAGGGCTGAAGTAGCAGACACAATAGATCTAAAAGCTATCAGAAGGTTTACATTTCAAAAAATTAAAGCTAAAGGCCTCGACTTTGTAACAATTGCCAAACAGTGGCAAATGTTTTCTGCCAGCATAGCTTTTGATTTTCTTGTAGTGCAGTGCCACACCATATTGTCTGCCAAGTGTAATAAAGTTTCAACAGAGAGCACATGAAAATATATTAAAACCTCAATTCCACATTCCAGAAATGAGGCAGATGCTCAAATAAAAATTACAGTGCAAGTGGCAATTGACAAATACAGAAATATGGAAAAAGCTATAGGGGCGACAGGATTTTCTTGGTACCAGCAAGGATACAACAACAACAACAAATAATGATTAAAAACACATAATTTTAACACAAAAAAGTATCAGTATTAACAACAATGACAATAATTTAAAAAACCCTTTTAGTAGACTGTGCTACAATCAACACTATTGGTGCTAAGGTACAACAGAAAGCTGTTATTTCATGATAAAGGTTAGTTTGCAGTCAGCTAATCTGGATATGTTTTGCGGTTTCTTCAGGATTACGAGGGAAAATTAATTCTATAACAAAACAAAATTGTACAAAATAATACCAAACAATGCAAAAATACCAAAAAAAATCAATCAAAGTGCATACCATAATACAAAAGTAACTGTGAAACAAATTCAATAGCTGGTAGCTGGTTTGGCACTTACCCCAAACAAAATCAGGCAGAGCCTGATTGGCTGTATGAATATTTATTTTTTGGTAGTATTTAATATTTTAAAATATTAATTTGTTTATTTCATTTTTTCCTTATTTTTTATAGTGGTGTATTATACTGGCATTATTGTAAAGGATGGATTTTCTTGGTACCGCTCGGACAGGATTTATGTCCAACATTCAGTCTAACTGAAAAAACTGATCTGAAAATATACCTGTGAAAAAAGCAAGGACTTTTGAAATGAAAATCACATTTATACTGGCATAAAGACTTTTTTCAGAAACATATAAAAGATATAAATCCACAAGGTTTGTGTATACACACTTTTACGACCCTAAAAAATCCCTCAGAGTATTTTAAAAAAATCCAGAAAACGTACACTTACCAACTGAATTAAATAATTTATTGCTCTCACAATATTCCAGCAACATGGTTACATTAGATATAGAGATTGATTGCTTAAATGCTCATTGTAAACATATTTTTGACAGCCAGCTTTTGCCAGTAGCTGGCAAGAGGTTAAAGGCCATCTAGACATGAAGTTCAATAAGGATAAGCTGGCCTTCATGGAGAGTTATGCCTATAAAAGGTTAGGTAGATCCAGTTATCGTTATCATAACAGACGAGCCATTCCACAAACTCAATCCCAGGTTGAAGAAACCACTTAAAGTGTTACTAAACCCAAAAACAGTAAAATCAGTCTGCATATGTAGTAAAGCATGCTTGTTATACTCACTGTGGAACCTAAGGGGTTAATCCTCTGCATTGTGTAAAACAGCTGTTTGATCTTTTCTTTTCCGCCCCTCCTCTTGTTCAAATATCCAGGCTGATAATACAAACTGAACCTTGCTATTCTGCACATACTCAGTTTAGTGTGTATTGCTAGAGAGGTTTTTTTTTTTTTTTCTTGAGAGAGTGCATGTGATCTGCACAGGGCCAATCAGCACTGTCCAGACAAAGGTCAGGGGATTTCCATCCTAGATAAAACTCCTCCTACAAGCTTTAACCAGTGCTCAGCTGATGTCCCAAGACTGCACTAATTGCTGATGAGAAAAAACGTATTTAGCAGTTTTGTATATACTAAAATAATTACACTTCCATGTTCTGTGTACTGTGGGAGACTAGATAGAGTGAATGCAGGGTCCAGGGTTTAGTAACACTTTAATCTGATTCATCTGTCTCTATTTGTCAACAGGCACACCCAAGTTTTTCGGAGCACAAACGAAACGTTGGTGGTGGGTACTCCCCAAATAACCCTGACAGTAAGAAATGCTCTGATGTATCGCCTCACTTGGGGATTCTAGTGCTAATGGCACTAATTTTGCACCAGTCCTTCAAAATTTGTTAAGTAAAAGCACAAATATTCTCTCTGCAGCCTCTAAAACACTAACTACTCAAACTGATTTAATTTAGAATTCGAAATAACCACACCCAAATCCAAGAAACAAGGCAATTTAGACTCATTTGTCCTTCAACCCCTCATCTAATGAATCTACCAGCAACACAGAACTGAACATCATTACTCTTACCTCTGTCCAACTGACCCTAGCACACAATTCTGTATTGCAATTGGGTTTGGGCTTTTGCCAGGCACAATCTATTGACAATATGGAGACCATTAAGGATCTCTATATGTTTGTCCATAACTTAAGTTTTAAATATTTATTTGATGAAGAACGTAAACAAAAGAAAGATTTATCTGAGCAAATTAAGCATTTCACAATGGATGAGTTTAGGGCACTTATGACGAGGGGGTAATTGATTTTGATCCCCCCACTTGAGGATACACAAAAGTGTCTCCAACATTTGGGGAATAAAAAATGCTGTTTTCAGACCTATAGCATGTAACTTTCTTGATTTTTCTATCTATCCCAATATTTGGTACTTTTTACATGAAACTGTTAATGAGCTTAAACATCAACATTAGCATTCATTTTCCACTAATTTGACAAGCAGCAACATATTGTCTTAAAATAATTACAAGCACATACAGATCTAGTTATAAAGCCCTCTGACAGGGGTGTTGATTGTAGTACAGTCTACTAAGAGGATTTTTTTTAATTGTTTGTGATTGTTTTTAATACTGATTTAACTTATAAAAGGGTGTTTCTAGGCTTCAGAGAGCCTTTATATTAGTGCAGAAAAACACTGTACCTTTAATTTAAATGCCCTTGGAGTCTGCTGGGGAAGAGAAATAATACTATCAGTCAGTATGACATGCAGATGAGTGCCATCGATCTTAGAATCACCGCACACTTCACTCATTTGGGCAGTCACGGGGCCAAAACCAGAGTGTGGAGCCACAGTGTGGCGGTGGAGGCAGCAGCAATGGGAGGCCATACAGCACCCTATGACAAAATGGAACCCACGAGCAGTGTGAGGAGACCTGAAAGTGGCACATGGCAGAGTGTGTGGTGATGGAGACAGCAGCAATGGGAGGCCGTACAGGGACCCATGAGACACTCTGGACCTGGCAGCAGCATGAGGAGGCGGTACGGGGGCTCATGGCAGATTACGGGCCTGGCAGCAGCAATGGGAGGCGTACAGGGACCCATGACACACTCTGGACCTGGCAGCAGCATGAGGAGGCGGTACAGGGGCCCATGACAGATTACGGGCCTGGCAGCAGCATGAGGAGTCGGTACGGGGGCCCATGACACACTCTGGACCTGGCAGCAGCATGAGGAGGCGGTACAGGGGCGCATGAACAGATTACGAGCCTGGCAGCAGCAACTTGGACAGGTAGGAACGTTCAGCTTCTGCACCGTCGGTGTGCGTGCTCGCAAAACTGTTGTCTCTTGGAAACGGATTCCAAGAAAAGATTGCTGGACGGAAATCCGTGAAGGAGGTATGTAGGTTAGCTAGTAGCAGGAGAAGGAGCATCTCAACGAGCGGAATATGCCAACAAATGCGACAACAGGGGCCCCATGACAGATTTACGGGCCTGGCAGCAGCATGAGAGGAGTCGGTTACGGGGGCCCATGGCAGATTACGGGCCTGGCAGCAGCAATGGGAGGCCATACAGCACCCCTATGACAAAATGGAAACCCACCAGCAGTGTGGGAGTGTGTGAGGAGACCTGAAAAGTGGCACATGGCAGAGTGTGGCGATGGAGACAGCAGCAATGGGAGGCGGTACAGGGACCCATGAGACACTGTGGACCTGGCAGCAGCATGAGGAGGGCGGTACAGGGGCCCCATGGCAGATTAAGGGCCTGGCAGCAGCAATGGGGGCAGGCCCGTATAATCTGCCAGCACCCTATGACAAAAATGGAACCCTGGGCTGGGGCAGGCAGCAGAAAACCGCCGTATCTTTATCACGGTTTTTTCCCAGGTCGCCGAATGGCGACGCTGCATATGCTGACGCAACGCTGTAGTCCCCCAACATGGGCCCCCTGGCCACGCTTTTTTGACTTTCTGGCCACATAGTCGACATACGGCTACGTTTACTTCCCTTGGGCGGCTTGACGAAAAATTTGCCACACCGCCGAGTAGTAGAAACTTTGCCCCCGCTACTCCTCACTGGCTGACTGCTACTTCCTCTGTGCACACCGGCACCAATTCTGGCCGTGGGTGGTAGGCTGCAGTGGAGCTGGTGATTCTACTCCGTGGCACCCACCGTTTGCCTCCACTGACACTGCTGCGACCCTATGCTGCCTCCTGGCAAGCTGCAAAATGGGGAGGAGGAGGGCGGTAATTGGGTACAGGGGCCCATGGCAGATTAGGGGGCCTGGCAGCAGCAATGGGAGGCCCCGTTAATCTGCCGCACCCTATGGACAAAAAATGGAAAACACACCAGCAGTGTGAGGAGATCTGAGAAAGTGGCACATGGCAGAGTGTTTTTGGACGATGGGAGACAGCAGCAATGGGAGGCCGTACAGGGACCCATGAGAGACTATGGACCCTGGCCAGCAGCAGCTCATGAGGAGGCGGTACGGGGGCCCATGGCAGATTAGGGGCCTGGCAGCAGCAATGGGAGAGGCCCGTAATCTGCCAGCAACCCTATGGACCAAAAAATGGAACAATCCAGCAGTGGTGTGAGGAGACTTGAAAGTGGCACACATGGCAGAGTATGGCGATGGAGGAGAGACTGCTTGCAATTGGGAGGGCCGATACTTACAGGGACCCATGGGACACTGTGGACTGGCAAGCAGCATGAGGAGGCGGTAGGGTTTTTTACAAGGGGCCCATGGCAGATTAGGGGCCTGGCAGCCAGGCAATGGGGGAGGGACCGGTAATCTGCAAGCCACTCAATGACCAAAATGGAACACACCAGCAGTGTGAGGAGACCTGGAAAGTGGCACATGGGCATGCACCACTGTGGAGCTGCACAGCAGCCATTGAGGAGGCGAGGGTGGGGTACAGGGGCCCCCAGGCAGAAATTAGGGGCTGGCAGCAGCTATGGGAGGCCGTAATCTGCCAGCACCCTTTTTTTTGACAAAAAAAATGGAACACACCAGCAGTGTGTGAGGAGGACCTGGGAAAGTGGCACAGCCACATATGGGTGGAGTGTGGCGATGGAGACAGGCAGCTATGGGAGAGGCCCGTACAGGGCCCCTTTTGAAAACACTTTTGGACCGGCAGCGCAAAAAAGAGGGGGGTTTAAAAAGGGGGCCCCACGGCAGATTACGACCCTGGCAGCAGAAAGGGGAGGCCCGAAATTTGCCAGAAAACCCTATGCCCAAAAAAATGGAACAACCACAGTGTGTGAGGAAAACCTAAAAAGGGGGCCATGGAAAGGGTTGGGGCGATGGAGACAGCAGCAAGGGGGGGCCCCTTTTACGGGGGGAACCCATGGGGACACTGGGGGAACCTGGAAAGCAGAAATAAAGGAAAGGGGGGAAAAGGGGGGCCCATGGCAAAATTGGGGGCCCCTGGCTGCACCCAATGGGGGGCCCTTTTAAATCTCCCAGCACTTTTTTGAAAAAGGGAACCCACACCAGGGGTGTGGGGGAGCCCTTAAAAAGGTGGCAATTTTCCCCTGAAAACACTGGGACCCGGGCCCGCAGCAGGGGAGGAGGGGGGGAAACAGGGGCCCAGGGCAGATTAGGGGCCGGAAAGCCCCTTATGGGGGGGCCCGAATCTGCCAGCACCCTAAGAAAAAAAAAGGGGCCCAAAACCAGCATTTGTGTGAGGAGACCTGAAAGGGGGGCACATGGCAGAGTTTTGGGCGATGGAGACCCAGCAATGGGGGGGCCAAAACAGGGCCCCATGGCCCACTGGGGCCCCTGGCAGCAGCATGAGGAGGTGGTAAAAGGGGCCCCCTGGCAGTTTAGGGGCCCGGGGGCCCCAGCAAATGGGAGGCCCGAAATCTGCCGCACTCTTTGAAAAAAGGGAAAACACACCAGCAGTAAAGGAGGGGGCCCTTTTGAAATTTGGCCCCCAGGGCCCAGGGCCCACATTTGGGGAAACCTGGCAGCACCCAAGAGAAAGGCGGGAAAAGGGGCCCATGGCAGATTGGGGGCCCGGAAAGCATTTAAATGGGAGGCCCTTTTAATTGCCAGAAACCCAAAGGAAAAAAAATTTGGAACACACCAGCAGGTGTGAGGAGACCTAAAAAGGGGCACATGGCAGGGTGTGGGGGATGGGGAAGACCCAGAAAAAATTTGGGGGGCCCGACGGGGGGACCCTTTGGGGGACACTCGGACCAAAGCAGCAGCTAAAGGGGCCCGGGGTTTAAAAGGGGGCCCATGGCAAAATTAAATTGGGGCCCGGGCAGCAGCTATGGGGGGCCCCTTTAATTCCTCCCAGCCCCCTTTAGGGGACAAAAAAAGGGGAAAACACCAGCATGTGTGAGGAGACCGGGGAAAGTGGCACACCCCCCCCAAAAAGGGTTTGTGGCGATGGGGGACACCCGGGAAATTGGGAGGCCTTTCCCCGGGGGCCCCATGAGAAAATCTGGACCTGGGCAGAAACCTTTTGAGAGGGGGGTTTTTTACGGGGGCCCAATGGCAAAATTGGGGGCCCTTGGGCAGAAAGAAAATGGAGGGCCCGTAATTTTGCCACCCAACTCAAAGACAAAAGGGGAACACCCCCAGCAATTTGGGGGGAGGAGACCGGGAAAGTGGCACATGGCTTTGACACACTGGGGGGACCGGGGGGCACAGAAAGAGGGGGTTTTTACGGGGCCCAGGGGGCCCAGATTGGGGGCCCCCAGCAGCTATGGTAGGCCCCAAAAAACTGCCAGCCCCCCAATGAAAAAAAAATGGAACAAAACCACAGTGTGTGGGAGCCCTTTGAAAGTGGCACAGGGCAAAGGTGTGGCGTGGAGACAGCAGAAAAATGGGGGGGCCGGGAAACGGGGGACCCATAAAGGGGACCTGGCCGGGGGCAGCAGCATGGGGGAGGGGGGGAAACGGGGGCCCCAAAGGCCCGGGATTGGGGCCCTTTGGCAGCAGCTTTGGGGGGCCCGATTTTTGGCCGCCCCCTTTATGAAAAAAAAAAAGGGAAAACACACCAGCAGTGTTTTTGGAGGAACCTGAAATGGCACATGGCAGATTTGTGGCAAATGGAACGCAGCAAATGGGGGGCCCCTTTACGGGGACCCTGAGACACTGGGGCCCTTTGCCCAAGGCGAAATGAGGGGGGGGGGGCGGGGGCCCCCAAGGCAGTTTAAGGGGGCCTGGCGCAGAAAAGGGGGAGGCCCTTTAATCTGCCAGCACTTATGACAAAATAAAAACCCACCCCAAGCAGTTTTTGAAAAGGAAAGGCCCCTTTAAAAAGTGGGGGCACATGGCATGACAAATTGTGGACCTGGCAGCAGCGTTTTCCCCCCCGGGGGAAACGGGGGGCCCCAGGGCAGATTGGGGGCCGGGCGCATTTAAAGGGAGGCCCTTTAATTTCCGGCCAGCCCCCTTTAGGGAAAAAAAAAAGGGAAACACACCAGCAGGTGGAGGAACCTAAAAGTGGCACTTTGGCAGAGTGTGGCGATGGAGACAGCAGAAAATTGGGGGGCCCCGTACAGGGGGACCCATGGACACTCTGGACCTGGCAGCGCATGAAGAGGGCGGTCCCGGGGGTCCCTTGGCATTTTTGGGGGCCTTTGGCAACAGAAAAAGGGGAGGCCCTTTTAAAACGGGCCGAAACCCTATGCCCAAAAAAGGGAACAAACCACAGTGTGTGAGGAGCCCGGGAAAAGGGGCCCAAAGGGCCAGAGTGTGGCGTTGGAGCCCGGCAGAAATTTGGGAGGCCGAAAAGGGGACCCCCATGAGACACGTGGACCTGGCGGGCACCCCCATTGGGGGAGGCAAAAAGGGGGCCCCATGGCAATTGGGGGCCTGGAAAGCACCCAAATGGGAGGCCCGTAATTCCCCAGCCCCTTTTTTGCCCAAAAGGGGGAAACACGGGCCAGGTGGGGAAGGGACCGGGAAAGTGGCACTTTGGCCCCAATGACACACGGGGGAACCGGGCCCAAGCAGCATGGGGGAGGGGGGTACAGGGGCCCATGGCAGTTTAAAGGGGCCTGGCAAAAAGTTTTATGGAGGCCCTTTAATCTGCCACCCCCCTTTTTAAAAAAAAAAATTGGAAACAACCGAAATGGTTTTGGGGGGGAGACCGGGGGAAAAGTGGCACATGGCAGAGTGTGGGGGATGGAAAAACACACAAGGGGGAGGCCTTTACGGGGCCCCCAAATGTACACTCTGGGCCCCGGGGCCAGCAAAATAAAAGGGGGGGGGGGTTTCGGGGGCCCCGGGCCCGGGTTTAACGGGCCGGGCAGAAAGAAAAATGGGACCCCGTAATTTTCCCCAGCACCCTATGAAAAAAAGGGGAAACACCCCAGAAAGTGTTTTTGGGGAACCTGAAAGTGGAAACATGGCAAAAGTGTGGGCCCGGATGGGGGGACAGCAGCAATGGGGGGCCCCCTTTTACAGGGCCCCAAATGAAAAGACTCGGGCCCCGGGGCAGAAAGCTTTGGGGGAGGAAATACGGGGGCCCATGGCAAAATTGGGGGCCTGGGCAGCAGCAATGGGAGGCCCCTTTAATCTGCCAGCACCCTATGAAAAAAAAAAATGGAACACACCGAAATTGGGGGTTGAGGAGACCTAAAAAGTGGCACAGGGCAATGTGGGCGATGGGGGGACGCAGAAAGGGGAGGCCTTTAACAGGGCCCAAATTGACAAACTCTGGCCCTGGCAGAAACTTTGAAGAGGGGGTTTACGGGGGCCCATGGCAAAATTG